CCACCCCGGCAATGAACGTGTGGAAGGCTGCAGAACCGGCCGGAACAGAAAGCGACAGGGCCTTTTGGGGCCGTTTCGGTGGAAAAAGGAACGGTTCCGAAGAGGAATAAATAAAAAAAATAGAGCCAGGCTAAACGTGTCTTCAGGCGATCCGAGTTTTAAAGACACTATTTAATTCTTCCGAATGGAGGCTTCGGGGAAGAGCGAATCCTTAATATGCACATACGTGTGCGCACAAGGAATGGGAAGCAGCCACAACCTCCTTGGCAGCCGACACTTATCGATACGGTCACTGCTTCTTGCATTGATCGCTCTGTTCAGGCAAAGGGAGGAGAGTTGAAGTTGAATTTAATTTGCTATACTGCATGTTTTACTTAATACTTAGCAAATGACTGCGCCACTCATCCCAGACAAATAATGTATGCGCTCCAATTTAGTTGGTCTTTCAAAAAGAAGTCTATCCAGGCTTAAATTCTTAAATAACCATAAAAAAAGTTTCCAGAAGTTATACAGAATCCTTGGAACTGGGAGGGCTGGGGCGGGGGGGTATAGGACAGGACACCCAAACCCTAAAGTTTTTCCTTGGCTTGGAATTCCTGCCGTCTTTATTTTATTTCCTTCTCCCTCTTTCTGATCTTAATTGCACTTTGGTTCTCAGGAGAGAGGACTCCCCACTTTCACAGCCTTTTCACCGGGAGCTGCAGTGCATGACAGTTTACAGCCAAAAAACTTCCTCCAGCCCAACGGCTATAAAGATTCCCGATTTATAGCAATACTTTCCTTCTCACATGGGGCGAGCAGCCGCCTCCAGCTGTTACCTGGGGTTCATAAGACTTGTCCATCATGCCTTCCCTTATTCCCCCAGGACAGCCAAATTCCCAGGCACCTTCCCAAAGGGAACAAGCCTGTGTCTGCTCCCGCAGCTCTCGGGCACCAGCTGCCCCCTGAGCAGCTTTAATCGCCTGGGTATGCCCATGCCAAGATAAGAGTGTGGTTAGGAATTGGGGGCATATGTTTAATTATCTTTCAACTTGCAGTTTGGGGACACACACACACAAAACTCACAGCACCCTTGGTGCTGGACCAGCACCCCTGCAGCCCCCACCTCCCGCCACCACCCCAAGCCTGGCTAGCACCCCCAGCACCCCGGGATGAAACCCACCTTTCAAAGGTCAAAACATCCCACCCCTGAAGAATAAACACCTACTTTCCCAGGACCTGCTTTCCCCCCATCCCCGCTTTATTATTAAATGAATACATTTAATAGGATCTATACGTAACAGAGATGTACATCTCTATCTCCACTCGTCAGCTGCTCTTTCCTGGACACTGGGGAGGAACACCCCACTAATTCTACTATTGAGGCATTGACTGAGGATGGAAGCGCCATTTTC